ATAGATTTATTCTCTTCCCTTGCAATCACGCATGGAGTTACATTCTGTTCTCCCTGATGAATGTGTGGCTTGCACTGAAGTGGAAATTGTGCAGCGGAGAGAATAATATTGTAAGACATTCCAAGAGCCAGTAGAGCAGAACAGCAGACTTGGGTCCTGGCTCTCTGGTAAGAGATTTAGAAAACATGACCCATGAGGAAAGGTGGAAGCAGCTGAGTTTGTTTGGTTTAGAAAAGGGAAGGCTAAAGGGACATGTGATGTATTTTCCAGCATATAAAAGGTGCTTATAAAGATGATCAATTGTCCTCTATGTTCATGGAGTAGCACAAGAAGAAATAAATCTACTTAGTTTTCAGTGAAGATCTACATTATGTGACACAGATGTTCAAAAACGTAGGCTGACACAGTAGAACTGGCCACCAAGGGAGCTTGTGGAATTTCTTTCCCCTTGGAGGTATTTTAAGGGCAGGTTAGACAAAGATCTGTTTTTGGTTATCTGATGGCTTAAGCCAGGGCTGTCAAAATCCAGTGGATCTCCTGCCCCCATTCCTTCCTCATCCCCTCAAATGCCTGATCCACTCATGCCAGCCAGTCCAGGAGCCTCATGCTGTGCAGGTCCTGGTCCCCTGGACTGGGCGCTGTATGCAGTGTGCATCCCAGACCACCTGGGGCAGGTGCCGTGTGCAGCCCAGAGCCCAGAGCAGCTGGAATGGGCACTGAGTGTGGCACGTGGCATGTATCCCACACCTTGCCCATGGGGCTGGGTTGACATGTGCTGTGTGTGGCACCAAGGGGCAGCATTCATAGGCCATATCTTTGACAACCCTTGGGTAGGCAGGCTCAATCCTGACTTCAAGCAAGGGACTTGACATCTTGGGAGGCTGCTTCCAGTTCCATGTTTCTATGTTTCTTAGCCTGATTAGAACCAAATTCTGCTCTCATTTACTTGGCTTATCAATCTTGTCTGTGTTACTGTGTCATTAATTTACTTCCAATGGGATTGCTTGTAAGGATTGCTAATCCCACTGATTAGCTTAAACAAATGATCTGTTGGCTCTAGCTGGCTTTCAAAGCTAAGGGCTTGTCTACATTAGGGATCATGGAACCTATGTGGGTGCATTGCATTGGTGAAAAATGGACCTGTCGAGTATGGATTACTTCAGTAAGGGAGATCCTGCAGCCAGTGTTATGCAACTGGGTTGTAACATAAGATGATGCTAGTTGCAGCTCTTACAAACATATATGCTTTGAAGATTCATGAATCCAAACCCTTCATATTAAGATCTAGCCACCCTGAGGCTTTGGAAAAGTTCAGATTGTAGATAAGGTGGCAAAAGTGAACCCCATGCAAACTCAGCATGTTGGGAAATAAACTGACTGCTGTGACTGGGGTGGATTCCAGCAGGTATGATGACCCAGTTACATCTCCCCTCTGGCTGTGGGCCACAGGCACAGTGATCTTTCTGAGCTCCCAGCTCCCTGCAGGGAGCTTGCCTAGCTCTGAGTGCACCAGTTGGTCCATGCAGGGACCAGAGCCCCTACTTTCATACAAGTCTGATACCTAGAGGGTGAGCACTGCTACTGCTCGCCCTTCCCCTCCCTCTTCCTGCAGACAGAAATGAAAATTACATTGGTGGCATACAGGAAGTAAATTGAGTGTCTTCCATTCAGGTTTTACTGATCAGGTCACAAATCTGTTTACTGCCCAGGTTTTCAAAAAAAATGTATCCGTTGCAGAGGCTAGTAAGCTTTTGCAAATCTGTCCCTCTGTGTGTTCAAGGTGTACAAATGACACACGTTAAAAGTCTCATGGCACACTTACTGCTGATTTATATCAGTATGTGTATCCTTTTTAACAGTTCTGGCATCAAGGCTGAGGCAGGCACAGACACTGAAAATGAAATGTTTTTCCTAGTCTGGCAGCAACTAGGACTGATGTACATTGGTAGATTATGGAAATGTGCTGATTTGCTTCTTGTACTGAACCTTCACTATGCAGGCCTGTAGAGCCAGTGCCTTTCACAAGGAAGGGAGTCAGTACCATTCCAATGGGTACTGGAAAGGTACCCATTGGTACAACCCATTTAAAAAAAATTAAAACTAACATTTAATTTCCATGGCAACTTCAAAGTTGCCATGGAAAAAGTTCAATCAAGAGGTCTCTATTATAGGTTCTTCTTGGATGCTTGTGTGCATGCATATGAATGTGTATATATGGCACTGCATGCTGCAGGACAGTAGCCTACCTATAGATAAAACAAAAAACAAGCACAGACCCATCATCAGGTGGGGTCTGTAGAGATCTGAGATGCAGCAGACATCAGACTATATGCTAGACAGGGAGGCACAGCTTGCAGAGCTCTGAAAAGTCTGACAGCACATTCACAGCTGATTGATATCTCTTTGTATCAATGTGTTACTCTATATTTAAATCAGGAAGAGACCTTGGCTCCAGTTATGCCAAGTATCCAGAATCTGAGTCTGCTTTTCCTTTCTGATAGTTCTAGAAATGCCTTACACCAGTGGTTTTCAACCTGTGGTCTGTGGATCCCTGGGGGTCTGCAGACTGTCTAAGGGGTCTGCGAAAGATGGCCAGGATTGATCAGAAGTATGTGAATACCCACACTTACAATTCAAAGGAGCCTGCACCTCCATTCAAAGTTTTTTTTGGAGAAAAAAAGGTTGAAAACCGCTGCCTTACAGCAAATGTTCTCCTGGATACTGGTATAAGTCCCATGGACTTTGGCAGGAGTTGATCTCAAAAGGAAAAATAGAATTAGCAATGGTAGTACAAGAGAATATACCCACTGAAACATTACTAAGGGCTGAGTTCTTGAAAGTGGAGTCAGATTGTTTAATTTTCTTTGGAACTGTTGTATTCTAGTAAAGTGCTCTGCTGTATGAGGTTTCTCACCCAGCATTCACAAACAGACAAACCCATTGCTAACACGCTCCATCACATCGTGCAAAGATTCTCTTAACAGACAGCTTTGGAACAGCATGTCTATTTGCTACCACTGAACTGGAAAGGACAAATGCTGGGCGTAAGGGGACTATGTGGAAAGCACAGATCAATCAGCATATTTGGCTGGATTCAGCAGTAGAGTTGAGATCTACTGATTTCTATTTAAACTGATTATTTCCCTCCTCCTCCTCAGGAGTCCTCTTTTTTTCTGATATTCAAAGACTGGTTCACAAATCAGGTTGGACCCAGCAAAATACTCCTTCCCCCACCGAACTGAGTAGTGATGTGCATGGTTAATAGACTCCAAAATGAAAGATTGGCTCATTGCTATATAAGGTACTTATTTCTTCAAGCAGCAGGAAATAAGGAATTCCACAAGCCACGTGTCTTCACTTCTCTTTCTCTTGAAAGAATGCAGAATTAATGTTGGCCCCTCAGTTTTATCCTTTTTCTTTTGCCTCTAGACTCTAACTTGAGTTGCAAAAGTCCTGCCAGTCCTCTAAGGGTGCTTGTACATGTTATGGGGGGTTTAGTCCTCTAAATTGAAATGGTGGGTATTTGTGATGATTAAAAACCCACCGTTTCAATTTAGGGGCTTCCATCATTGTTACAGCAAAGGGCCTGATCCTTTTTTTTTTTTTGGTGAAGCTGCCTGCTTCTCCTGTGGCTGGGGGGCAAGATGCCAGTGGGATAAGTAGCCCCTGAGCTGTGGGGGGCCCCAGTCCTTCCCTCCACAGTGGGTGGGCTGCCAGCAGGGTGGGGGCTGCCCAGTTCAGGCTCGGGGAACAGTTGGATCAGCCTGGCTGCTGCCTCTGAGCTGGGGCAGCCCCTGGCCTGCTAGCAGTCCATCTTGGTGGCCCCAGGGCGTGCCACCACCATGGAGGGAAAGACTGGGGCCCCCTGCAGCTCAGGCCCCTGGCTGCTAACCCCCTGGCCACAGGCTGGCTCTGTGGTGGGAAAAAAAAGGATCGGGACCATTGCCACTTCTATTTTTTATTTTTTTCCAGCAGAGCCTGCCTGCACAAGCTGCCAGTGGGCTGAGCAGCCCTTGAACTGTGGGGGGTACTGGTCATTCCCCCTGGGGCTGCCTGGGCAGGTAGCTAGCAGACCGGGGGGGGGGGGCTGCCCCATCTTGGAGGCAGCACCCATTGCTTCTGCCTTCAGCCCACCTCTAAGTTGCAATGTTACAAGTCGCTATGTTGCAAACTAAAGTACATGGGGATGTGGTTTAGTTTGCAACATAATAAACTAATTTAAACTGCAACCCCCCCTTCATATAAAGTTGATGCAATTTAACCACAAAAACAGGCAATTTTTGTCACCTGTACAAGTGCCCCAATAGTATTAACCAAGGACTTGTCAAGGCCATCAGCCAGCTGACAAAACGTTGGGCCTCGGCCACCTTATACAGGGGTCACAGCAGCAGTCTAGCTGTGAGAGGCTTTGTCCTCCACTAATAATGTCTCCTGCTATTCAGCTCATGTTAACAGAAGTTCAGTGTGAAAGTCTGCATGTTTATTACAGAGAAGGTATAGTGCGCTTATATTCACATAGTTCTTGCCATGCATTGTTTAGGTAGTGGATGTTTTTCAGAGATGAATCCCAAATTTGCAAACATGAAACTGCAGTAAATGGGTATGTGAAAGATTAGCCATACACCAAACAACTTGTAGCTTGTGCATCCCTTGCTGGGCCTACAATTGCAGCAACTGCACAGATAAATGTCTGTTAAGTCTTGCTCATGTTCATTCTGAAAATCAGGGAATTCATCTCTAGGTGATGGCAACTCTCAAGGTGCCAGAGGGCCTTGCTTGCCATTGTCTTCAGTGAAATGGTGACTGGACTCAGCACTGTACGCTGTCAGACTCCCAAGTATTAGGAACAATTGCACCCTTTGCTCACAGGACACAATGTCCGCCAGTAAACAGGGAGCCCAACCTTCCCTGACTGAACTAAGGAGTTACACATGAGTAATACTGCTGAGGCCCTCAATAAAAACCCCATGCAGTTTTGTCAATGGCTCTGAGTGACTCACCTGATAAAATAGAGGCAACTGCAGCAATGATGAAGGAAACAATGACCCCAGGCCCTGCCATCTCCTTAGCAACCAGGCCCGATACTACATACATGCCAGTGCCAACACAGCTTCCAACTCCGAGTGAAACCAGGTCTACGGTAGTAAGGACCTGGGCCAGCTTGGTCCCATGAGAGGTGGTTGTGCCAGTCCCCTCTAGCATGGACTCTACAGGCTTGGTGCGCAGAATCCTGGAGTGCATGGTGTACCATGTGGCACCCCACTGGATGCGTCTGGGGTCCAAGCGTGAGAAGAAGCCACTCATTGTAATGGAGAGGGATTGAGACCAGCAAAGCAAGAGAGTTCAGTAGGGTTTGATGGCAGATCTCAGCCACATCAACTTCTGATAGCACCTCGTTCAGAGAAGGTCTGGATTTGGAGCAACTTGAAGCCACATCCTTGCATATGAAGCTTTTATTTCTTTGCTTGGGTTCAGGCTCCTCTGTGGGAAGTCTGTAAAAAAAAAAAAAAAAAAAAAAAAAAAAAAAGAAAAAAAAAAAAAAAAAAAGAAAAAAAAAAAAAAAAAAAGAAGAAATTTGCACTCACAAAACTGTTTGCTGTTAGTGTGTGTGTGTGTATATGTGTGTGACAGACATACAGAGACTTGAGGTCTTGATTGTATTTCCAATTCAGCTGTCACACTTCCTACTGCACTCAAGGAAAATTATGGCAGGGTGGGATTTAAAAATCAGCCCATCCTGGTAGGCCTGCATTAACCCTCTAGTGGGCCCTAGGCAAACAAACTCATGGGCCCCTATTTTTTTTCACTCAATAATTATAATATGTAAATTAAGCACAACTGGCCCCCTTCTTCACTTACATCCCTGGGCATGTGTCTAGTTTGCCCGTGCATTAATTCAGCCCTTCATGTTGGCAAACCTCTTGCTGGCTTCTAGGGAAACAGAGTTTCATAGATTTCATAGACATTAGGGCTAGAAGGGACCTTGTGAGATCATCGGGTCCAGCCCCCTGCCCAAGGGGCAGGAAGTCAGCTAAGGTCAAAGGATCCCAGCAAGATAAATGTCCAAATGTTTCTTAAAAGTGTCCAGAGTAGGTGCTTGCACCACTTCTGGGGGGAGTTTGTTCCTGGCCTTGGGGGCTCGGACAGGAAAGAAGTTTTTCCTTGTGCCCAGCCTAAAATGGTCTTGCAGGAGTTTGTGACTGTTGGACCTTCTCCTCTCTTGGGGCGCTCTGGTGAACAGGCGTTCCCCCAGATCCTGATGCACACCCCTTATATACTTATAGGTTACCACCAAGTCCTCCCTGAGCCTGCGCTTCTCCAGACTGAAGAGTCCCATAGCTCACAGCCTTTCTTCATAAGGCCTGTTCTCTTGTCCTCTGATCATGTGCATGGCTCTCCTCTGGACTCCTTCACGCTTCTCCACATCTTTCCTAAATTGTGGAGCCCAGAATGCAGTACTCCAGCTGCAGCCAATGGGAGGACGATATCCTGGGTCTTGCTCAAGATGCTTCGGTAGATGCAAGTCACAGTTTTGTTCACTTTGCCAGCTGTGGTATCGCATTGGTGGCTCACGTTCATCTTGTGGTCAGTTATGACCCCCAAGTCTCTGGAGGGGACCAACATGGAGTGCTTAGACCATCCCTTCATTTCCCTGTCCCATTTTGCCCTTTTGTAAAATGTGGACAATATGAGTACCTTTATCTGTCTTGCCTATTTGAACTATAAGATCTTGCTATATATTTGTACCTCACCTAAGCAATGAGGTGTTGGGCTCATTTGGGACTTCCAAGAGCCAGTGCAAGGCACAATATCCACTGGATATTTATTGTATCATTCTCCTTCAGAGGCTGGAATCGGTTTCATTTCTTCACTTTTTTCTCTTAATGGAGAGTTTCTTTTAATTTAAAAGGCAGGGGCTCAGTTTGAGAACTCTGCTGCTGTTTTCTCAGTGGACATGATGTTCACCAACCTTCCCCAATGTACATAAGGTTCCTTCTTCCCAATGGAGCCAGCTGAAGTATGCCATATTTTATACAGAGTTATGGGAGGATGAAGAAATCTTTGGAATAAGTGTCTAACCTTAAAGGGGCAGAATTATTGTGTTTCTTGTCTGTTGGGGACTGGACTTTTATCCAGGCATGAGAGTTCTTGGCTGATCATCCCCTCAGACTTGCCAACTATAACTATGATTTTAGAGAGAGAATTTTAAGGAGAAACTATTGGGTTGGGCTGAGTGCTTGGGGCAGGTGCCACACACAAAAGCAGCAGTGCGTTTTGCATGGTGGAGGCAGCTGGCTTTTTAACATGCGCTCCGCCTCCCCCTCCCCCACCCCTCGGTTCACCATTGTGTCTAAGATTTCTAAAAAATACACCCCTAAAGTGCCTGCAAACTGAACATCCTGCTGCTGCTGAGAACTGAAAAGTAAAGCAATATAAAGAAAATGGAAACAGATTAGATTAGTTCGATCCTTCAGTCTGTGGGTAAGCAAACACCACTAGTGTTTGAATGGTGATTAGAATTTTTCAACACCTAAATTTAGGTGCTCAAAACTCAGGACTCATGACCTCCAAAATTATATCTTTGACTTAAAAATAATTGGATTGTTTTATAAATGTTAATACAGGGTTTTTCACTTTGCTTTCTGAGCCACAGATGATATTTTCATTATAAACGGCATATTAATTTTGATCAAAATGAATGATTTTCCCAAGCTATCACTCCAAACAGCAGAGATTTGAAAGAACAAGCTAAAAATGATTATTAAAGAGAAATCAGTTCCACATCCTGACAAATACGCATCTTTTGGATGGGAAATTAAAACTGAGATGCTGGCTGTTCATGGCCATTAAAGAAGTTAGCTGATGTAGTATTCAGGTCAGATTCCATTTATGTAATTACTTTCTTCCTATACACATTCTCGCTTGCATTTCAATTAAAAATGGAGGGACGAGACCCTTGGCTGCGATAAGTCATCCTGGCTCCACTGGCAGCACTGAAGTTACTGATTTATCCCAGTGCTCTTTGTTTCTTGCCTTAAGGTCTGGTTTTATAAATGCTGAGGGCCTCCAAGGCAGCTCTTGGGATTAGGTTTATGAACAGATGCTCTGCTAGGTGCCCTGGAACAGCTGCTCCAAGTTACTATGGCTGCTTTTTGGCACTGGGCAAAATGATTCCCGGAAATACTGTGGTCATGATTACTGTGGTCTTGGGAGCTAGGAGCAGCAGGGAGAAGGAGGACACAGG